CTGGGGGAGCTTGTTTGTAAATTCTTACAGACTGGGGCACAAACGAATTTTTATATCATTCGGTCTAAACTTTTGGAGAAAGAAGTCACTCTGATCGAGATGACCTTAAGTGTCTGTGGTGAACGGGGTTGGTATCTATCATCCAATTTTTTTATTTTATTTTTTCGTATTTCAACAACCTTTTTCTTCAAATGTGTTTTCTTCCAGTAAAGAATGTTTAGTTTGTGTGATGACACTAGACTTTTTTGTTGGTCTGTTCAATTGGTGTTTGATGTCAGACGGTAAACTCCCACACCTGCAGGTAATGCTGAAGTTTAGTAGGCTTCCAATTGTTGCACTGTAGAATAAGATAACAGTTTGTTCGTTGACGACGAAATTGTACTTTTTTTTAAGACAGAAAAGCGTTTCGTTGATTTTCATGATGATAGAGATTGGTGATGCTATAAGACAATGATATATGATATAAACAATGATTATGTAAGAGAATGCTGATATGAGACAATGATATAATACATTAATGATAAGTATAATACCATGAGGATACAAGAAAATGCTGTTATAAGAAAATGATATAATACATTAATGATAAATACAAGACCATGAGGATACAAGGCAATGCTATTATAAGACAATGGTGATATAATACATTAATGAAAAATATAAGATCATGAGGATACAAGACAATGGTGTTATGAGACAATGATGATATAATACATTAATGATAAATACAAGACCATGAGGATACAAGACAATGCTATTATAGGACAATGATGATATTAAACATTAATGATAAATATAAGACCATGAGGATACAAGACAATGGTGTTATAAGACAATGATATAATACATTAATGATAAATACAAGACCATGAGGATACAAGACAATGCTGTTATAAGACAATGATATAATACATTAATGATAAATACAAGACCATGAGGAAACAAGAAAATGCTGTTATGAGACAACGATGATATAATACATTAATGATAAATACAGGACATGAGGATACAAGACAATGCTGTTATAAGACAATGATGATATAAAACATTAATGATAAATACAAGCCCATGAGGATACAAGACAATGGTGTTATAAGACAATGATATAATACATTAATGATAAATACAGGACATGAGGATACAAGACAATGGTGTTATGAGACAACGATGATATAATACATTAATGATAAATATAAGCCCATGAGGATACAAGACGATGGTGATATGAGACAATGATGATATTAAGCACATTTAAACTTTGAGCCCATGAGGTCCTAGAATGTCTCTCTCCTGTAAGTTGTAGTATTTATGTTTGTGAATATACGTGGTTCTTTTTTTGTTATTGAATGGACTTGCTTATTATTTTGTTTATGATTAGACTTGATTACTTTTTGTTCTTGAATACTCGTGGTTAATATTTGTTCTTGAATAGACTTAGTTATTTTAAACCGCTTAATTTGGTACATAACAATTCTGGAAAATTTAAATTGTTCATTTACTTTGCGGAAATCTGGAGTGTTAAATGAAAATGTTAAATAATTGACCAGCTTAAATTTGACGTAATCTTGGTGACGTACGTTGAAATAAGATCAAGTCGGTCAAGTTAAAAAAATCTGAAACAGAAAAGACCAAGACTCACGTCTCTGACTTGTTCCAACTTGCAAACGCTTCAAATGATCTGTCTTTTGAAATGAATTATCCACATAACATTTAAAAAAACAACATACTTTTATAAACTTTTTTGTCTACCTCAGTGAGGCCAAATCTCTGCATCACTTGCACAAACCATGAAAGCATTGCTCCAGCCGTCCAAGCCATGTATCACTTGCACAAACCCAGACAGCTTTGCTCCTACCGTCAACTCCATGCAACATTTGTCAAACCAAAACAGCTTCCAACAGCTCTATGTTGCCACATATGAATGACTAGCATCAATCAAACGATAAAAGCCACCAAGCGTCGTTGGGCGACGCATGATTTTGTCATGCGTCTCAGCAATAGATCAGGACAAGATAGTCATTAAATAGATCAATCTATCTCACTGGCCATCAGTTTAAATTCCACAACCACGTATCGAGACGTCATCAAACTTTCTAACCCCCGAACCCAATAATTGATTTAATTCTATTTTGTTAGACATTCCAAATGTTTTTATCTAGCTTTTCAACCAAAGGAGAGGAAGAGAAGACTCAGTCCGTACCAGGGATCATACAAGAACCGTTCCACCAGTGACAGCAGTTTTTGCACTATATTATTGAGGTGCCCCAAAGATACTCCAAATAAATTATTTTAAAGGTTTAAAAATTAAACAGTTTTTAGATGCTTCATTGACCTTTTCAACGCCTGGATGACTCACATTGACAGAGAGCTAATGGGTCCATGGGACAACGGAAGAAACAACTAAAAATGCATGGTCTGTCTGAAATTTTCTCATAAAACAGATGTCCTTGGCGGGGTTTAAAATAGGTTAAATGTGGCTATAATTCAATTTCTAAATGAATATTAACACTGGCAAAGACGTTTGGAGATTGTATGTCTATGTAATAGTTGTGTAGGTCGATATAATAATTGTGTGGGTCTATATAATAGTTTTGTGGGTCTATATAATAGTTGTGTGGGTCTATAAAACAGCTTTTCTGCTGAGTGATACATTGTTTACGTATGTGATACTTTGTGTTGACATCATTTGATTGATTGTGTTTTAAACCAGCCAGCGTTGCATGTGGAGTTTTTAAAAGACATTTCATGGTGGATGATGATAAAAATATTATTTAAAAAAAAGAGTATATAATATTTGTTATTTTACAGGTTCTCCGGACATTTCATTTCATCCTATTTTATATTTCTACAAAGTTAGATTGGACAGAGTTATTGCGATTATATCTGACATATCAGACTAAATTTGGTGCTCTTACTTTCTTTACATACAAAAAAATTAAACATTTTTCATCGAAGATTCCAACAAAAATTTCCGTTATCAAGTTTATTTCCAAAATTTCATCCTACTTAATCGTAATTAGATCTGAGCGAAGCCAGAAAATATGATGAACGGGACGAGCTCTTCCTTCGACGGACGCAATTATTCTGATGAAGAGCGAAGACGTATTTTGGCAGATTTCCAAGACGAGACGACGATCATCATGGCACCGTCCATTGTCTTCCTGTGTCTGCTGTTCGTCACAGGGGTCATCGGGAATTCCATGGTTCTTTTCGTGTATTCTCGTAGATTCTCGAGGTCGCCCTTGAGGACATATGTGAAGGCGGCGGCAGTTGTTGACCTCCTGTCCAATGTCATTGTCATTCCTGGTAAATATTTAAATATATATATATATATATATACTTATTTCTTTTTATTTTATTTGTTTTATATCTAGGTGTGGGGGGTGTGGGGTGGATTTTACATGGTTAAAGTCACGCACAATATCTTAAATTGCTAATTGAGCATTTTTTAAATTATATTTGACATGGGTTTTGTTTGTCTAACTATTTATTGTCGTTTTGCGAGTTCTTTTAGGCAACATTTGTCAAATATCTACTTAAGCCTGAGAGCTTAAATTGGCAATTCAACTTTGAGTCGGTAGTGAAATCAATAGATCGATTTTCTGGCGTGGTAGATTTTTAGATTTTATAGCTTCTTTTTCTAATATTTTTTATAAGCTTGTATGAACAATTGAGGTGTCCTTAATTTAGAAACAACTTTCAGGGAATCCAAAAATAATTTGCTCAAAAGATCATTTTAGATTGAAATCAGATTCGATTCAATCTATGGCAAATTTGAATTTTTTATTTTTTTTTTAAAATTGTTACTGAAATGTGTATCCGCTTTAGAATCGCTTTACTGAGATCTTCTTTACTTAATAATAGACTCTAATAATCTCCAGTGAGTAAATCACTTTCAAAGAACACAAAAAAGGCTTTTTAAAATCCTTTTCATTTACTTCGCCTTAGTTCGTGGCTTGCTGGGCGGCTAACAAAAATATTCGGACGGCTAAGTGACCCGCTTCCCGTCAACCTATCGAAACGAAACGTGGCACCTAGACTCGTTGTCAATCACAACGCATTCTGTCAAATTTTCAGCCGTAGGCCTACCCCCTTAACCCCAACGTCTAAAGGTCAGTTCACGAAATAAAATTCCCGAAAACTGCGTTAAATGAGATTCTTTTTTTTTTAATAGGTTCGATGATTAATACTTTCGTTTGATGTTATGAAAAAGTTCGCGGAAAAAAAAAACGTGCGGTGTAAAAGCAGGTGGGTAACTAGAATATTAATGGAGTAAGGGGGCGTGAACGAAATGTGCGGTTGGGAGACTTGGGGGTAAGAGCCCTAATTTGAACAACAATAAATTGCGTTACTTGAATGCATGTTTTGTCAAACTTTCAGCCTGAATCCCACGTTTGCTCGATGTTACATTTTTTGAAGGATTTTATAACAAAAACAGTTTTTTTAAGGAGGTTGTTTAATTGTGCTAATTTATTTTTGAGAGTTGAAACTTTATTAAGGTTATTATTATGTAAAAGGTGTACTGTGTATATTGTACATTGTTGGTACATCATGAACTGTTGAAAATCTTGTTTTATTAACAGCTGGAGCGTTTCAAAAAATATTTATCATACAATATCTGATACCAATGTTCACATTTATCATACAATATCTGATACCAATGTTCACATTTATCATACAATATCTAATACCAATGTTCACATTTATCATACAATATTTGATACAAATTTTCACATTAAATTTCTTTCTGCTTTTTTTTTTTTCATTTAATGTTTATTTTTTTGACGATTTTTTTCTTTAAGTTATATGCCCTGTGGCCTGTGACATGTAACCTGTTGCCTATGACCTGTGGCCTATGACCTACTTTTGAAAATGTTTTCCACTTCATCCTGTTGTTTTCTTTATTGATTCTAGGAGATATTTCTGACATATTTAATTGGTGGGACTATGATCTACCCTACCTGTGTAAAGCTCGGCGTCTCGTAAATGCATTAATTTCAATGTGGTCAGCCCTGCTTCTACTGTCTCTAGCGGTAGCCAGGTAGATAATGTTAGTTTTATATTAATTAGTAATGTGTGTTCCATCTTGGGTAGTTATGTTGTGTTTAGCTTGGTTGGTTATGTTGTGTTTAGCTTGGTTGGTTATGTTGTGTTTAGCTTGGTTGGTTATGTTAAGTTTAACTTTAGCCTATTTGGAAATGATAATTTTACCTTAGTCAGTTCTGTTCGTGTCTAGTAACATCTTTCCAATGTTTCAATCAGCAAATTTTACAATTGTAGAGTTTGGCAACAAATTTGAAATTTCCAAATACTCTTCAATAATGTGCGCCACATTTTTCTTCTCCTGTGACATGACGTGTTTTTGTTGTTGACCCAGGTACCGAAAAGTGTGTCGACCATTTTCAAGACAGGTGAACATGTCCCACGTGAAGATCAGCATGATTTTTATCCTAGGACTACCGATCATCTTTTCCATCCCGTATACTCTCCTTCATGGGAGGCAGAGTAGGATGACCCCTCATCCCGGTGTCTACGGTTACTTCTGTTCGGTTGACGACAGCTACGTCCAGACGAAATGGCCGATGATTCATGCCTGCTTTTTCCTGCTTCTGTTTTTATCGTGTTGCATTCCACTGGTGGTCCTCTACGCGCTCATAGGAGCCAAGGCTTGGAGACACAAGCGATATCGGATGGCAGCTACGCGATTAAAGATGTCCGGTAGCACGGACGTCATCAAAACCAACGCAGCAGCACCAACAACAACGGACGACAATTCAACTTCTGGGAAACTGGACACGGTTGGACAGGCTAAATGTGATTCAAACGACAAGATGTTAACCTGTGGCTTTAAAAAAAGGATCCAAGAAGGTGACTCTACGACTAAATATAACAATTCTAAAGAAGGAAGGACACCAGGAACTGGTGAGAAAATGAGAATGTCCGTGGCAGAGAGCTTACAAAATGACTTGGAGACATCTTGTTCATGTGATGATAGAGATAAGTATGTTAAGAGGAAATATCAGAGTCTTCAACGAAACGTTGACGAGGAGAATGTCGGTGTTTTCAGCAGACGTCTTTTGGGTGGCGATGAAGTGCCGAACCCGATTCAGAAACATAAAAATGACATCATCAACTCAGACATACACAAACACGACGTCACCAACACAGATACCCTTATAGATGACGTGATCAATCCAGTGACACATAAATTGGAAATTAAATCTCAGATCCAAAATTTTGAATTAACCGCTAAAGGAGTCGACTATCTCAGAGGAAATCTAGACACGATCAAACTTATGGCATCCCCCTCTATCAAGTTCTTTCCACATAATTCAAGTCCAAACGGAGAACATTCGACTCAATTAACTGACACTCTATCAGATGGAGGGGCTTCAATCTTGGGGGATACACCAAGCTCTTCAACTCAGCTTAATCAGTGCGTAGCGGTTGACCTTCCCAAAATACGAAACGATGTACACGACGACGTCAGCCACAAACCATCGCATTTGTACTCGGTCAGAGCGAAGAGCGTCCATACCTTACGTATGTTTGACCGAACCACCCGCATGCTGTTGGCCATCACCCTGGTGTTTATCATCGCTTACCTTCCGTTCATCAGCCTGGAGCTGATCAAGTACGCCGCCCCTGGGGTCTTCGCGTCCATGGGTGGCGTGTCACTTGCAGCGTACCATCTGTTCTGGAGATCGTATCTCATCAACAGTTGTGCGAACCCCATCATCTACAGCCTGTATGATTTGAGATTTAGAAGAGAGTCTTTGAAAATAGTATTTAAATTTTTACCTTTTAAGAACAAGAAATATGAGGGGACTTAACTATCCTAAATTTGCGCTTTTAGTTAAATGAACAATTAAATTTTAAACAGATGAGATGATAAAAATTAGAACTGTAAATGTTAAAATAAAATTAGTGCAAAACTGTATTTTTCTACAAGAAGTTTCACTCTCATTTGAAGTATATTAATAAAAACAATGATTTTAAAATTGTTTGTTTTATATCATAAAACAATTTCTACAGCTGACAGCTACTCAGAATTTTATAATAGCTCGATCTAGATTAACCAGAATAAAGAACTTTAATCACAGCAGCTGCTTCTAAATTAAAAGGCCATTACAAAAAATCCATCTCGTCACATGTTCCATTTGTTTGACAACCCCCAGGTGAACTGCAATACCAGGGTAACCTTCATAAAGTCCACCATTGCGGGTTTCACTATCCACCGATCTTCCTAGCTGTAGTAAGACCAGAACTTTAACCATAGTTACCTGCTTCTAAATTAAAACTTTAAAAAAAAATTAAATAATTCATCTTGTCATATGGGGTGTCCTTTTCTTTGTACAACCTACAGATGTACTGCAATGCCGGGGTAACCTATTTTAAGTAAACAAAAGCTATTGCACTAAAAGTTAATTTAATTATTATAATGCATTTCTATACAAATACATTTTTACATTACAGATGCACAAAAAATCTGCCTCAACTAACAGCAAGTGAAAAAAAGTACAATCCTCAAATTAGAACTATCAATTTATACACACAGTAATAATACATATCGTATGTCTATCTTCTAAGAAAACTGGCGGGCTTGATATAGGAATTAAATCTCAACGGTCTAGTAAAGAAAATCTATAAATTCCGTCACTTACTGGCATTCTTGAGAATAAATGGTATACACTCGAATGTAAACAACCTTTTCTATAGCCAAGAAAGGGATGGGCAGGGAGTGGGAACACAATACATTTACCCGGTGACGTCTATATTGGACTGGATTGGATATTTATATAGCACTGTTATCCATGCTACTTTAGCATGATCACTGCGCTCCGCTTTCTTAAATCTATTTACACAAAAAAACGTTTTTAAATCAAGGTCATTCTAGCAGACACGTTATGGTGGCTAAAAATAGCTCTATGTTGAAGTTTAAAAATAAGCCAAAACCTACGCATCACTATGCTATAATATATAACACACACCCAATAGAAAAGTGTACACCTGACCCAACAGGAAGGTGTACAACACTGCCTAATAAGCGTGGTCAAAAACCCCTGACATATGTCCTATTGTCACGTCATGCCATTTTTTGGTGTGCAAAACTTGTTTTGATTTCCTTATTTAAAATGCACTTAAGAAATAAACTTTCAGTAAAAAAAAAAACAACAATAAAACAACTTTGTCTATAAAATTTCACCGGAATGAATTCAAATGCATTTCTTTTGAAACTTTCTTTTTTCTTTTCAAACTCTCCATGGCCTTAATCTCTTTGCTCGATGCTTCAGTTGCGTCACAGCTCCGCGTCCACTACAATGTTCTATTGACCCATAGATTAAATACTGTTATCAACATGTAAGTGCCATGTGCACCACACCGGCTACGGCATCTCATCAAAATCTCGTTACGTCGTGATACATCAGCCATCTGACCTGTGGTGTTGGACGCACCAGCAATTGTGTTCCTCTGTTCAGTTTCGATGAACAACGTGCACAAGTATGGCAACGTTCATGAATGCCTTGAACCGATCTGTTGTGACACACGGATCTGTTGTGACACACGGGTCTGTTGTGACACACGGCTCTGTTGTAACACACGGGTCTATTGTGACACACAGCTCTGTTGTAACACACGGGTCTGTTGTGACACACGGCTCTGTTGTAACACACGGGTCTGTTGTGACACACGGCTCTGTTGTGACACACGGGTCTGTTGGGACACACTGGTCTGTTGTGACACACTAGTCTGTTTTGACACATGGGTCGATTGCGAGACACAGGTCTGTTATGACACACGGGTCTGTTGTGACACACAGCTCTGTTGTGACACACGGGTCTGTTGTGACACACAGCTCTGTTGTAACACACGGGTCTGTTGTGACACACAGCTCTGTTGTAACACACGGGTCTGTTGTGACACACGGCTCTGTTGTAACACACGGGTCTGTTGTGACACACGGCTCTGTTGTGACACACGGGTCTGTTGCGACACACTGGTCTGTTGTGACACACTAGTCTGTTTTGACACATGGGTCGATTGCGAGACACAGGTCTGTTATGACACTCGGGTCTGTTGTTAGTCTGTTGTGACACATGAGTCAATTGCGAGACACAGGTCTGTTATGACACACGGGTCTGTTGTGACACATGGATCTGTTGAGAAACACTGGTGAAACTCTAGTCTTTTGTGACACATGGCTCTGTTGCAACACATGGCTCTGTTGTGACACACGGCTCTGTTGTGACACACGGGTATGTTGTGACACACTAGTCTGTTTTGACACATGGGTCGATTGCGAGACACAGGTCTGTTATGACACACGGTTCTGTTGTGACAAACGAGTCTGTTGTGACACATGAGTCGATTGCGAGACACAGGTCTGTTGTGACACACGGCTCTGTTGTGACACATGGGTCTGTTATGACACACGTTTCTGTTGTGATACATGGATCTGTTGAGGCACACTGGTGACATTCTAGTCTGTTGTGACACACGGGTGTGTTGTGACACTCTAGCCTGTAATGACACAACGGTCTTTTACGATATATCAGTCTGATAAAACATGCCTGTCTGTTACAACATATACGTCTTGTGGAAACACTTAACTGTTACGACACACTGGACTGTTACTACATAATGGTATGTCACGACACACCGAGTTCGTAGATACACTCGTCTGTTGTGACATACTGGTATGTTACTTCCCACTGGTCTGTTACGACGCACTGGTCTGTTAATGTGTGTCTATCAGCTATCTATATGTGATACCCAATGACCCCTTCCCTGATGTCATAAGCTCTATATGTGATACCCAAAGACCACTTCCCTGATCTCATAAGCTCTATATGTGATACCCAATGACCACTTCCCTGTTTTCATAAGCTCTATATGTGATACCCAATGACCACTTCCCCGATGTTATAAGCTCTATATGTGATACCCAATGACCACTTCCCTGATGTCATAAGCTCTATATGTGATACCCAATGACCACTTCCCCGATGTCATAAGCTCTATATGTGATACCCAATGACCACTTCCCAGATGTCATAAGCTCTATATGTGATACCCAATGACCACTTCCCTGATCTCATAAGCTCTATATGTGATACCCAATGACCACTTCCCTGATCTCATAAGCTCTATATGTGATACCTAATGACCACTTCCCTGATCTCATAAGCTCTATATGTGATACCCAATGACCACTCCCCTGATGTCATAAGCTCTATATGTGATACCCAATGACCACTTCCCTTATGTCATAAGCTCTATATGTGATACCCAATGACCACTTCCCTGATGTCATAAGCTCTATTTGTGATACCCAATGACCACTTCCCTGATGTCATAAGCTCTATATGTGATACCCAATGACCACCTCCCTGATCTCATAAGCTCTATATGTGATACCCAATGACCACTTCCCTGATGTCATAAGCTCTATATGTGATACCCAATGACCACTTCCCTGATCTCATAAGCTCTATATGTGATACCCAATGACCACTTCCCTGATGTCATAAGCTCTATATGTGATAATCACGTTAAGTAGCGCCTATCAGCCTCAGCAACAAACAGATGCTTAAATCCCAAACACCAATGGGTTAATTCAAGTTCTCCACATTGAACCGATAGACGAAGTGACATGAAAATGGGAGAAAAAATTACGATAAATAATGGATAAAAGTTTGAAATAATTCATTACACCACCACCATCACCAACTTCACCATCATCACCATCACTATTAAATTCGTCCTTGAGGAGCAATGTTGCATTTACTTTACTTGTTTCACATAGATGAAATGAATGCCCCTGAAAGTCTAATCATGTGTTGGGTTTTCTTTACATTTAATTTTTGATTTGGTTCATCGATTTCTTAGAAAAACGATCGTATAAAATCTCCAATACATTAACTCAACTAAACAAACTCGAGTGTGTCTTGAGTGTCAGTGTGTGTGTGTGTGTTTCTTGTTTGTGTGAGTGTATGTGTGTGTATGTGTGTGTATGTGTGCTTGGTGTGAGTCAGGAGCCATTACAAGTGCAAAAATAGATGTTTAAAATTCGAGGGAAAAACTGCTTTTAACATATTGATTAATATAAGTAATTAGCTAGCGATTCCTTTTTTAAATACGTTTTTTTTTTTAAATTTATTTTATTGATAGATTAGCTTGTGAAATACAAAAATGAAATCTAAGTGACAAAGTTGGTAAAGGTTTTTTTTTTTTTTTTTTTCCAAACACAAAACGGTTCAATAATTAAATTATAAGAATATGATCCTAAGATGATCATAAAACGCATGCACGTTGCAGCAGCTCCAGAAAAACCACTGATATGTGAGTAGGGCGATATTAGATCACTTGCAGGCAATCTTGAAATTAGTTCGTGGAGACACACGATGATTTGCGACGGCCGACTCTCTTCACCACATCAGCGAACGGGCCGAACAACATGAACACGTCAGAGAATCGTTCCGAGATTCTAAGGACTTCTTCAGAGGCGGACGAATCTCATCATGATCCCGACGGCGACGTTCTTGTCGCTTGTGGCGATGGTGGCAGTGGTGGCGGTGGTGGCAGTGGTGGCGGTGGTGACGGTGGCCGG